CAAAGCACACAAGGCCCTGGACGCTGCCCCAGGAGGCGCAGCACAGCATGGCGCCCCTCTGCCCCAGGGCCTTTACCTGACCGGGCTCTTGTCAGCTGCACTGCGTCCCCAGAGGCTGAAACTGCGGCTCTAGGGACAAGGGGGAGCCCTGTGGGTGCTGTTGGGGTGGCACAGACGCACAATTAAAGTGGGCATACGGGGAGGGCCCTGCCCTACCCTGAGCCCCATCGTTCCGTTCTGTGCGTATGGCCCCTGTAGGCTGCCGCTGCCCCCCCTCCGCTCCCGGTCAAGGCCAGGCAGCCTTTGTGGAGCCTCTCGCAGGGGCTTCTCCCCCCAACCCCGAAGCCGTCCTGGGCCACAGTGAGATTCAGGGGCTCTCATCGTCCCAGCCCACGACACTGGAGACAGGAGGCAGGGGCGCCCCCAGGGCACTAGTTCTGGCTCTCAAGTCTGCATTTTCTCTCAAGAGGAAAGTCGCTGATCTTATTGTGTAAATAAATTAATTCAAGAATGGGATAAAAGGCCCGGGAGAACCAGAGCAGGACACAGTCCTTCGACCAGAGAGGGGCGTGAGCACCACGAGGTCTCAGGACAGGAAGCAAAATGCAAGTTTATTTGGGTGCAGAAGCTTTTAAAATCCAGGCATGGTGCTCCGTGGTGTGCTTTTTCCATGGATTTCCATATCATCACTTGAGAAACCAAGGCAGCGAGCATGCTAGCCCCATGCTGTCCCTCGTTGCCATCTGTTCGGTCTCTGTCTCTGTCTGTCTCTCTCCGTGTCTGTGTCTCTCTGTCTCTGTTTGTCTCTGCGTCTCTCTCTCTCTCTGTACTCTGTGTCCATCGTCTCTCTGTGTCTGTCTGCCTGCCTCTCTCTCTCTCTCTCCCTCCTCCCTCCATCCTCCTTTGTGTCTTGCACAGGAGACAGAGAACGCCTGCCCTGTCTGAGCACCAGGGGAGCCGCCCCAGGCGGTGCAGTATGGGAAAGCCCGAGTGCTGTGCTGCTAAATTTCTGAGCCGTGTGTGCATGTGTGTGCGTGCGCATGCGTGTGTGTGCATGTGCATGTGTGTGTGTTCGTGTGTGTCTGCAACGACAGTAGAATGTGACTCAGTGAGACCAGAGGCATCTGCACGCAGGATGCTCTGCGCGGGAACTTCTCAGGCTGTAACATCCTCCGACCACAGTTGTCCTTGGAGAAACGGTCCTCAAGAGATCACAGAAGCGGCTCTCAAAAGGGAGAATTTGCGTTTACGAAAATGGCAGGACTATTTCCAATGCACCCCAGCCTTCGCTGAGCAAAGCGCGCCTTGCCGGGCGGAGTGGCTGCCTGCCTGTCGGGACTGTCCTTGCGCTGCCGTGTGGGGCCTCGGTCCCCCACCGGGAGCCGCCATCGGGGCTAAGGACCGTGGTCAGGAGCCATCTGTAGGAGGCCGTACAACACTGGAGGATGCAGGACTCGGGCTCAGCCAACCCTGCTGGGTATCTGAGCCTGAGTCTGAGAGAGCAGTGTGGAGCTGTCCTGGGGCAGGGTCACACCCAGGGCAGGTCTGAGGACAGACGTGTCCCCTGTGTGGGCCTTCCTGAGCTGTGCAGCCTGCGTCGGCTGGGGGAGGGGGAGGGGGAGGGGGAGGGGGAGCTCCAGGCCTTGGAAGGAGGCTCCCAGCAGCGCCATCTGTGATGTCCCTGGCTTTGCAGGCTGAGAATGTGGGTGGGCCTGCAGGGAGGCCAGCCGCTGCCCTACAACGACAGGGCCACAGGGCTGGCTGGGCCAGGCCCAGGCCACGGGCCTCCATCGGGCTGCTGCCTGGGCTCCTGGGCACTTTGCCCCATTGTGTCTGAGGCTGGAGACCCTGAGACAGCCCAGGTGTCTCGCTCAGGTGCACAGCGCCCAGGTGGGGATGGCTGGATGCTGGGCTGGCCAGGTTCCATCTCCTGTGTCCTCCTCACAGTCAGACTCCTCCTGTGAGCTGGCTTCCCCAAGAGCTGGGGTCCTGGGGTCCTGGGGTCCTGGCGGGGCCTGGCAAGGCCTCTATCTGATGCATTCTCTTGGCCCAGCCAGCACCTGAGGCCGGCCCAAGCGTGAGGACTGCCCTTGCAGGTGCCCTGGAAGGGAGCATGGTGTTCCCTGGGGCCAGGGAAATGGGCTTGGTGTCTCCTGATGGACCGAGATGCCACAGCTCTGGAGAGACTTCTGAGATCACAAGGGGTGCTTGTGCCCGTAAGTGTCACTCGTGTCGCTGGTTTTTCCTCCAGGACCTCAGCAGCTGGGAACTTACGAGACACAGCTGGGAGCGCATCAGCTTCCACGAGGAGCAGGTCCCCCAGGCAGTGCGTTAGTGAGGGCTCTGCAGAGGAGTGGAGCCGAAAGGACAGTGACAAACGGGCAGATAGGTGGGCGGGTAGGTGGATGGATGGATGGACGGATGGATAGATGGACAGATGGATGGATGGATGATAGGTATGGAGAGATGAGGAGTAGGTGAGCGGATGGACAGATGGATAGATAATAGAGATGCGTGAATGGATGGATGGATGGATGGACGGTGGATGGATGAATATGGATGGATGGGTGATACATAGATGATGGACGGGCGGAGGGGTGAGGGAGCTAGCAGGAGATGCATCATGGAGACTGGCAGGCACCACCATCAGCTCTCTGAAGCTGGAGACCAGGCAAGCTGCTTGTGTCACTCAGGGGAGCCGGGGGTGTCGGAACCTTCTGTGGCCTGAGTGTGTCCCCAAAATCTGCATGTTGAAAACCCAACCCCCAGTGCAACAGTGTTGGGGGGGCTTTAGTGAGGTATTGAGTGCTCTGCCACTGCACAAGACTCACGGCAGAGGGCTCTGTCCATGGGAGGACGTGGCAGGAAGTCCCTCATCCACTGCACAAGACTCAGGGGAGAGGGCTCTGTCCATGGGAGGTCCACGGGAGGACGTGGCAGGAAGTCCCTTATTCACTGCACAGGACTCAGGGGAGCGGGCTCTGTCCACGGGAGGACGCAGCAGGAAGTCACTCACCCACTGCACAGGACTCAGGGGAGAGAGCTCTGTCCATGGGAGGTCCACGGGAGGACGCAGCAGGAAGTCACTCACCCACTGCACAGGACTCAGGGGAGAGAGCTCTGTCCATGGGAGGTCCACGGGAGGACGTGGCAGGAAGTCCCTTATTCACTGCACAGGACTCAGGGGAGCGGGCTCTGTCCACGGGAGGACGCAGCAGGAAGTCACTCACCCACTGCACAGGACTCAGGGGAGAGAGCTCTGTCCATGGGAGGTCCACGGGAGGACGCAGCAGGAAGTCACTCACCCACTGCACAGGACTCAGGGGAGCGGGCTCTGTCCACGGGAGGACGTGGCAGGAAGTCGCTCATCAGAGCCCAGCACCTTGACCTTGGCCTGCCCGGCCTCCAGCGCTGCTTGCCTGTGGCATTTCCTTCCTTGGGATGTTTTCCGTCTTGAAGGTTCGTGACAACTGTGTATTCCAGCTTCTTTCTGCTACAGAGAAACAGAGTGAGGGCTCTTCTGAGTGATGAGACGGCAGCTGCGCCTCTGACAGCCACCCCAGGGTCAGACCTGGCGCCCTCTGCCCCAGCTTGCAGGGCTCAGATCCCGCAGCGGCGCTCAGGGCTCCCGGGCTGCACACGGCGCTGACGCCGCGCCTGAGCTGGTTCCTTCTGTCTTGCATTACCTGGTTATTTACTGCACTTCCGTCCTATTTTTTGTAAAGATGTGTTGTGTGTTTATTCGAGAGGCAGAGTAACAGAGTGGAGAAGAGACAGGGAGAAAGCGTTCTTTGTTTGCTTTTTAGATTGATTTATTCATTTGAAAGGCAGAGTTACAAAGAGGCAGAGACAGAGAGAAAGAGAGATTTTCATCCGCTGGTTCACTTCCTAGATGGTTGCAATGGCCAGAGTTGAGCCTATCCAAAGCTAGGAGCTTCTTCTGGGTCTCCTATGCAGGTGCAGGGGCCCAAGGACTTGAGCCATTTTCTACTGCTTTCCCAGGCCATAGGAGAGAGCTGGATGGGAAGTGGAGCAGCTGAGGGGCCAGCACTGTGGTGTAAAGAATAAAACCGCCGCCTGCAGTACTGGCATCCCATATGGGCGCCGGTTCAAGTCCCGGCTGTTCCACTTCCCATCCAGCTCTGTGCGATGGCCTGGGAAAGCAGCAGAAGATGGCCCAAGTCCTTGGGCCCCTGCACCCGCATGGGAGACCCAGAAGAAGCTCCTAGCTTTGGATAGGCTCAACTCTGGCCATTGCAACCATCTAGCCAACTAGGGAGTGAACCAGCAGATGGGAGACCTCTCTCTCTCTCTCTCTGCCTCTCCTTCTCTCTGTGTGTAACTCTGACTTATAAACAAACAAACAAATAAATAGAAGGGGAGCAGCTGGGACAAGAACCGACGCACATATGGGATGCTGGCACTGAAGGCAGCAGCTTTACCTGCTACGCCACAGCACCGGCCACAGGGAGAAAGGTTTTCCATCCTCTGGTTCACTCCTCAAATGGCCCCAGTGACCCGGGCTCAGCCCATCTGAAGCCAGGAGCCAGGAGCTTCCTCCAGGTCTCCCACGTGGGTGCAGGGGCCCAAGGACCTGGACCACACTCCGCTGCTTCCCCAGGTGCATTGGCAGGGATCTTGATGGGAAGTGGAGCAGCCGGGACTCCAGCCGGCGCCCTGCTGCTGGGCCACAGGGCCACGTCCACCTCACTTGACGCGGTCGTCTCCGGCACGTTGCTTCCTCTCGTGCCCATTTCTCTGTTTTTGACCTCCTCCCTTGGTTGCTGTGCGCCCCTGCTCCCTGGAGATTTTATTTCGTTCCATTCGTAGCCTTCGTCCTGCTCACACGCACAAGCAGACGCGCCTCGTCCAGCCGCCATCCGGACCCAAGTGCCTCTGCCCCTGGCCGCGGCCCCCCAGTCGGACCCCAGCAGCCCCTGTGCTGCCCCTTTGCCTGGGGGCGGGCCCGTCCCCGCCCCCTGACTGCGCCGCCTCCGCAGGTGCAGGCAGATGACCTACTCCGAAGAGCTGCCCCAGGTCTCCGTGGTCTTCATATTTGTCAATGAGGCCCTCTCGGTCATCCTGCGCTCCGTCCACAGCGTGGTCAACCACACGCCCTCCCAGCTCCTGAAGGAGGTCATCCTGGTGGACGACAACAGTGACAATGGTGAGCGGACGCCGGCTCTGTGGCCTGGACGGGCTCTGGGCAGGTGCAGTGTCCCGGGGCTGCTGTGGGAGGGTGGCAGCGGGGGGTGAAGTCGCGGAACTTCGCTCTGCCTGCCCAGAGGTCGAGGCCAGGGTCCAGGGGCGGCAGGGCCGTGCTGCCCGCTCTGCTGGGGCTGCGCCCCCACCCCCCAGCCCGCCACCTCGGTCTGCATCTCTCTTCTAACAAGGAACGTCCACTTCGCTGGGGCCCTCTCCACATCCAGGGTCCACAGCCGGTCCCTGCCACACAAGGCCCTGTGCCCAGAAAGGCAGCCAGGCCCGGGGCCCTCCCAGGAGCTCTGTGGGGGCATGCCTGGCCGGAGCTCATGGAGCCTAGGGCCCCGTGAGTTCCCGGGCCCTGCCCCCATGTCAGCCGTGGGGTCCGGAGGGCTCAAGGCCCACACACACATGGGTGGTGTCTGGGCCTGTCCAGTACCCGTCTTAAGCAGAGCAGGAGGAGCCCAGGGTGGCTCCAGCACTGGGGAGCCTGTGGGGCTGAGCGCCTGGGGTCTCTCACGCCAGCCTCCCCCAGCCGAGGGACACGGGGAGACGCCCACAGCCCCCTGAGGAGGGGGCGGTGCTCTGGTCCTCAGCAGCCTGGGGCTGGGCAGGACGGGGGGAGAGGGCACAGCTGTCCCTGTAGCAGGGAACCCCGCGGCTCGCCGGCCGACTGCATCGTGCGCAGCCCTGGGTGGCCGAGGAGCCGGGACTGGGTGCTGGCTCCGCCTTCGGGGCTCACCCCTCCCCTAGAACAGAGGGCCCCAGTGCAGAGGGGCCGTCTCCAGGAATCCTGGACTGCCCTGGCTTGACCACACCCGCGGCCAGGGCTGCCCTCAGCCTTGTCACCGCTTGTCCCTGGGGAGCCCCTCAGTGCCCCCGGTCCTTGGCGGGTGGCTCTGTCAGTGGTTTAGCCATTATTGAACTGACATTCTCGTAACATAAAATCAATGTTAAAGGGCACAAGGTGGCGGTTTTTGTACGCTCACAGTGGGGCAGCCTCCGTTGCTGTCTTGTCCCAGATGGTGTGTCACCAAAAGGAAGCCACGTCCCTGCCCCTGCCCCTGGCAACCACGGTTCTGCCTGTCTGTGAATTTCCTGTTTCGGGTTTTTCTTGTGAGTGGGGGACCACACAGCCAGTGGCCAGTGTCGGCCTCAGCCAGTGACCAGTGTCCATCTCAGGCAGTGACCAGTGTCCATCTCAGGCAGCAGTCAACGTCCATCTCAGGCAGTGACCAGTGTCCGCCTCAGGCAGTGACCAATGTCCATCTCAGGCAGTGATCAGTGTCCACCTCAGGCAGTGACCAGCGTCCATCTCAGGCAGTGGCCAGTGTTCATCTCAGGCAGTGACCAGCGTCCGCCTCAGGCAGTGGCCAGCGTCCATCTCAGGCAGTGGTCAGTGTCCATCTCAGGCAGTGACCAGCGTCCATCTCAGGCAGTGGCCAGTGTTCATCTCAGGCAGTGGCCAGCGTCCGCCTCAGGCAGTGGTCAGTGTCCATCTCAGGCAGTGGTCAGTGTCCATCTCAGGCAGTGGCCAGTGTCTGGTTCGGACAGTGGCCTGTGTCGTTCGGGCAGTGGCCTGTGTCTGGCCCCGGTGTGGAGCTCGAGGTTCGTCACCGCTTCGTTGCTGTCCTCAGAAGTGGCGGCAAACACCGCCAATGCTGCCCACTAACCAGCGTGTGGTGCTGCTGCCCTTGCTGTGTGACCTGACCGCTGGCCAGCCGCGTCCAGAGCCTCCGTCTCGCACTCTGAAACCCTGTCCTCGTCCAGCACCGCTCCCTGCCCTCCCCCCGACAGCCCCAGCCACCTCCACTCCACTCTGCGGGTTTGACGGGGACCTGGGGTGAGAGGGACCCACAGGGTCTGTGCTTCCATGTCTGGGCCTTCTCACTGGACAGTGTCCTCCAGGTCCACGTGCGTTGTCCCTCCCTTCTTCAGGCTGAACAGCGTTCTGGCACATGGAAGGGCCACGTGTGCCTCCCCGGCCATCCACCGCGGACTGTGTCTCTCCTCGCCTGGGCAGCTCAGCCGTGTCCTGGCTCCGTCTGGGCTGGTCTCGCCTGCTTTCCCGTCTGCTGTCTCCCACCCAAGCCAGCTTCATGGGCTGGGGTGTCTCTGGGGTCTCCTCAGAGCTGGCCTTGCAGCCAGGGCCCGCGGCGTCCCAGCCGTGGGTTTTGGGGCCTCAGGCCCTGCCCTGGAGTGATGCAATGTGGTGTGTCTCTCCCCAGCGGAGCTCAAGTTCAACCTGGACCAGTACGTCCACAGGAGGTACCCAGGCCTGGTGAAGATCGTCCGCAACAGCCGGCGGGAAGGCCTGATTCGGGCGCGGCTGCAGGGCTGGAAGGTGGCCACGGCCCCCGTCGTCGGCTTCTTCGACGCCCACGTCGAGTTCAACACGGGCTGGTGAGAGCCGGGGCAGTCTGATGGCGGTGTGGGCCACGGTGCTTCTCTGAGCTGTGCAGCCTGGCCGGGGTCAGCCCTGGGCTGGGACTCCCCTAGATGCCGCTTTGCTGCAGGGCTGAGAGCCTGGCGGGTGGCTTCTTCGTGTCCAGCTCCTGAGCACAGACAGGCGGCAGGGTGGGCCCTGAGGGCACCGTGGGGAGGCCCCCGTGTACGTGGACTGGGCATGCTCCCCACTTGTCCCAGCCACGTGGTGGGGCCCAGAGCGGGGCCAGCGCACAGATCTGGGTGAGGCTGCCTGTGGTCTGTAGGATCCCGGTCCCTTACGAGATGGGGGCTCTGAGTGCCGTGAAGCCTAAGCCATGGGACAGGAACGGAAACTTCTAGATGGCAGAGTCCATCTTCCCTCGTACTCCCCTACAGGGCGGGGAAGTGAGTTCCATGGGAGGTGGCAGGGATCCTGCGGCTACCCCACAAGCATGGCGGGGCTTGGAGGAGAGCCCACCCCACCCACCGGGAAGGTGGGGGCTCTGGTCCTGGGCCACCTGGCAGCAGGGCCCAGGGGCTGAGTTTTCTTGAGCCCTGGACACCGGGGACGCTGCATTGCTCAGACATCGCATCGCCGGCCCAGCAAATGATCCACAGCCACAGGGACCACGCGCGGGTGCTGGCGCCTGCTGCCCAGAGCTTGCACCCCTCTCTGGTGCTGGGGAAGGGAGAGGCAGTCCCAGCGCTGGAACCTGCCGATGCCACCCACGGCTGTGAACAGGCACGCGTGGCTTCCTCAGTTCCCAGCTGTATTCTGATTTGCTAGAACAGAGTGGCACACAGCAGGCCCTCTGTTAGTCCTTGAGAACAGACGCACCTTCCACAGGTGCAGGAAACGGGGAAAGCCAGCCGGGCTGGGCTGACCCCACGGGATCTCTGGAGCCAGATGGCCCTTCAGGGATGTCACCGATGGGGCCGACAGCCAGGCACTGGTGTGCCCAGGGCCAGTCGTCAGCTGTCACTGCTCCCACGTGGGAAGCCCTGGCCAGGGCAGGTGGCAACTGAGATGGTGGACCCCGGGGCTCCGGGGCTGAAGCTGTGGGCCTCAGCAGGTGGGCAGTCAAGCTGGCCATCACGTGCTGGAGTTGTAGCTGGCTGGGCCCTGCCCCCTGCCCTCTGGGAATGGGGTGAGGGTCCCCAGACCCCCACCCTTCCTCACAGCTCTGCCTCCCCCAGGGCCGAGCCTGCCCTCTCGCGGATCCGGGAAGACCGGCGTCGCGTGGTCCTGCCCGCCATCGACAACATCAAGTTCAACACGTTCGAGGTGCAGCAGTACGCCAACGCGGCCCACGGCTACAACTGGGGCCTCTGGTGCATGTACATCATCCCGCCCCAGGACTGGCTGGACCGTGGCGACGAGGCAGCGCCCATCAGGTGAGCTCATCAGGCGCAGCCCCGTGCGTGGGACAGAGAGGCAGAGACAGCATAGACGGGGCACAGCCTGGAGCAGAGGGGAGAGCGGAGGCGGCCGTGGCCCACAGCGGGGTGTCCTGGGGACAGTGGCCCCTGCTGACCGCAGCCAAGTGCGGCTTTGTATTTGGAGTTGATTCCTCAAACATAAAGAAGAAGAGAACACAACATTTAAAAACACAATTCCAGCACTTTTGAGAAACAAGGCAGTCCGGCAGCCCTTGGCCGTGGTCTTGGGGTGGCCGGGGAGCGAGGCTGCAGCCACACAGCTCCCTGCCACCGCGTGCCACTGCCCGGCCCGGCTCACCTGCTTCTCCCCATCCCCATCCTGACGACCCTGCCCTCTCCTCTGCCCTGGGATCCAGGGAGTGGGAGGCCCTGCTGGCTCAGGCCTGCCGGCCTCTGCCCGGGCTCTGCCCGGGACCCCAGCAAGCCTTCTCATGCTGAAAGGGCCCAACGCCGGCAGCGGTGCCCGCACACGGCTGGAACCATGCCCTCTTCCCCGGCGGAGTCCCGGGGGCACCCAGGCAGGCAGCACTGCCCTTGGGTGGTGGGCACAGCTCTCAGGGGGGCCTGTACCAGCTTAGGACTGGTGTGTTCCACCCTCGGCTAGCAAAGAGCCATGAGCAGCAAGGGCTCGGGCAGCTGGGTGGTCCAGGGAGAGATCTGGGGGCACTCAGCGATGGCACAGCCAGGCCTCAACCCACACTTCACAGATCTCAGGGAAGGAAACGCGTTCCCATCACAGAGGAAGGTGCTCAGACAGAGACCATGGCGGCCGTCAGAGCCGGAACAGGCACCGCCCTGGGTCCCACCCTGTGGCCACTGCCTCTGAGCCAAAGACCCTGGTGACCGTGGGACAGGGCCCAGGTGACCTGCGAGGCAAGCAGCAGGACAGGTGTGGGGGCCTGGAGCCTTCGTGGCGCAGGGCGCAGGTGGTCCCTGGGCTGAGTTCAGCAGGAACGGACTTGAAGGCCGTGTCCTTGTTGGGAACACACTGGGTCCCCGGTCGGTAGCAGAACAAACGCCTGGGTTTGACACTTAAGAACAGTGAAGTTCAGGGGCCTCCTGGCCTCTCCCAGTGTTTGGCAGGCTCTGGACACCCTGACCTACAGCAGGAGCAGGGCCTGACCGTGCCGTGTGGTCAGCAGTTCCCCGGCTCCTCACAGCATGACCTGGAGAGCCACCCAACGCCAAAACCCCGTGCAACCGGGAGAGCGACCTGACGGACTCCACGCAGACGACGCCCACCCCGCCCTCAGGCGCCAGGAGCGCAAAGGGGAGCCCCAGAGAGCCTCCTGCGTGTGCTCGGCTCTGCAAGTGTGTGGGGACAGGACAGACCGACTCACAGAGGCGGCCAGCGTGAGCACAAACGGGGCTTCGCTGCGGGAAGCTGGCGTTCTCATAAAGGCACAAAATGCTTCCCGTCTGGCCCGGCCACCCCGCCCCTACGTGTGTTCCGCCATACATGGAAACGGAGGCGCCACACGCGTGTCCACAGCGGCACTGCTCACCATGGCCGCGGTCGGAAGCGGCTGTTCCTGAGTCGGTGAGTGGAGAAGGAGGCTTCTCTGTGGTGAGGAGGAGGGAGCCCCGTCCAGGAGCTGGGCGCCCTGAGCGCGTCCGTGTAAGACCCCCGGTGGGGAGAGGCCGGCCAGGAGGGCCAGGGCAAGTCCCTGGGGAGGGATGCCGGCCGCTGGACCGAGAGAGGGCTGTGCAGATGCAGAAGCATCAACACGCACATCCAACGATGCACACTTTATCCCCAGAAAGGATTTTTAGAAAAGATTTATTTATTTATTTATCTGAAAGGCAGAGTTACAGAGAGAGAGAGAGAGAGAGAGCGCTAGCTTCCATCCGCTGGTCACTCCTCAAATGGCCACAATGGCCAGGGCTAGGCCAGACTGAAGCCAGGAGCCAGGAGCTTCTTCTGGGGCTCCCACATGGGTGCAGGGGCCCAAGGACTTGAGCCATCTGCTGCTTTCCCAGGCGCCTAAGCGGAGAGCTGGATTGGAAGGGGAGCAACTGGGATTCAAACTGGCATCCCTAAGGGATGCTGGCACTGCAGGCGGCGGCTTTCCCCGCTGCGTCACAGTGCCAGCCCCAGAAGTTGATTTTATTTTTTTTTTTTAAGCAGGCAGAGTTAGATAGTGAGAGAGAGAGAGAGACAGAGAGAAAGGTCTTCCTTTTCTGTTGGTTCACTCCCCAAATGGCCGCTACGGCCAGTGCACTGCACTGATCCGAAGCCGGGAGCCAGATGCCTCTCCTGGTCTCCCATGTGGGTGCAGGGCCCAAGCACTTGGGCCATCCTCCACTGCACTCTCAGGCCACAGCAGAGAGCTGGCCTGGAAGAGGAGCGACCGGGACAGGACCGGCGCCCCGACCGGGACTAGAACCCGGTGTGCCGGCACCGCAGGTGGAGGATTAGCCTAGTGAGCCACGGCGCCGGCCCAGAAGTTGACTTTTAAAGAACTACATGAAATACTAACAAAGTTAACAATTCCACTGCCCAAGTGTGTGCCGAGCCGGTCACTCTCGCATCTCTAGGAAGGGCCCGGCGCGAGGAACGGCATTGGCTGCAGCAGCAGAAGAGAGAGGGCTCGGGGCAGACATGCAGGAGGCCCCTGGCCCGCCTGTGGGTGAAGGCATCGCGCCTGCCCCATCGCCTGATCAGTCCCCAGGGCTGACTCTCGTCACCACCCCACCTCGCTCTGGAGGAAGTGGGGGGAGGGAGTTACCCACGGGCCTGGTGACTTCTCACAGGGCCTCACCATCCCACAGAGCACAGGACAGGGCGAGAGGCGGTCCCAGGAGGAATCCCAGTTATCCGAGGGCCTCCTCGGAGGACAGAGACGCTCAGGTGTGGCAGACCACATGCGCCCCAAAGCTGTGTTCCTGTCCCCTCGGAACCCAGGGCCCCAAGCACACTGGGAAAGGGTCTTTTCCAACGGGTGGAGATAGGCAGGGAGATGGTGCTGGATCGTGGGTGGGCCCTGGATGCTCTCCCGGGCCCTTGCAGGTCCCTAGCAGTGACACACACGGGGTGAGGGCGGCTGAGGACAGAGGGACCCTGGGTGGCCAGGTCTCCCCCGGAGCTTGCAGGGGGCATGTGGCCCTGTCACTCTTGACCTCAGACTTGCAGGCTCCTAAGACGGAGAGAGGAAATTTTGGTCTCAAACCACCCAGCTGAGGGTCCCTCGTTCTGGCAGCCCCAGGACACAGAGGCACGAGGTAACCCAAATGACAGGCACCCAGTACTGGCCCTTGGCGGAGCCTGGACAAGGTGAGGAGGTGCCAGGTGTGCTTGGCAGGTGCCAGGGCACGGGCTGGGCAGCCCTCCGCGGGGCGGGGAGCCAAGGGCAGCTGCTGAGGCCGTGTGGGAAGCTGGGGGACACTTGGAAGGTGGGTGCTACATGTGGCCGCCGCAAAGAGCCCTTGGTCAACACAGACCTGGGGCTAGGGCCAGTGGTCGGCGTCCGTCCTCACCGTGCATGGGGCCACGGCAGGGCCCTGTGGGTTTCTGTGGCAGAACTGGTCGATGTGGTGCTTGTAACCCACCTGGAAATCAGATGTGGTGGGCTCAGGGGGAGGAGCCAGCACGTCCCGGGCCAGGGGCGGGAAGCCTCCAAGTGTGAGTGAGTCCATGCCCCAGGGGATTTCTGTCCCTGAGAGACACAAAAGGACCAAGAAGCCAGGAAAAAGGGAAGACTCCAGGATGTCCCCTGCCTGACAGACGATTCCAAGTCACACTGCAGACGGGAGCAAGAGCGGGGCCTACGGACGGACGGCACTTCCTGGAGCACCGGGAGTAGCCGGGAGACTCCCTCGAGCCCCTCCCCTCACATGGAGGATGGGGGTGCCGGGAGACTCCCTCCACATCCCTCCCCTCACGTGGAGGATGGGAGACTCCCGGCAGACATCAGCAATGTATTAGCAGTTGACTTTCAGCCTTGGGTTGACCTGCAACTCCTGGTTTGCCCGGAGCCTCTCTCTTTCCCGGTCCATTCCCTGGCCTGTGCTGGTTCTCACGGCACTGTCTGGCACTCACACAGCCGCAGGGTTGGGGCAGTGTGTGGGACGCCTGCAGCCCCGGCTCCGAGGTCGGCAGACTCCCACCAGACCACATGAAACACGGAAATCCGTTGCTCACATCGACACAGGGGCCTTGGGAGCCTCCTGCTGTACCACGGTGCAGCTGAGCGCGTGATGCCGTGGCCTCTGATGAGGGGGCACAGTGGCCGTTCAGGGCCTGTTGGGGGTTCCCAGCATAGTTCCGGGCCTCCCTCCACGGCAGCCACAACTGCTGTCACGGTGCTGTCACATGACCGCGGTGCTCGGTGTGTGAAGCAGCTGCTGGACCCCGGCGGAGATCCGCAGAGCCAGGCTGGCGCGTGGAGCCCAGTAGCTCTGGGGCATTCACAGTGCTGCCAACCTCACGCCCATCTCCAGCCACAACATTCGCTCTCCCAAGCAGGGCCCACAGCCGCACCCGCCACTGCCTCCCGTGTCCTCTCTGTGGACTTCCCTTCGGGATGCACGTCACAGGGAAGCGCGCCCCGTGGCCTTTGGTCCGCAGTGTCCAGTTCCAGGGCTCACGCCACGGCTGAATCACGTCCATCACACGGGTGGACCACGGCCTGTGTGAGGGGCAGCTGATTCCACTTCCAATTTTAAAAAAGATTTATTTATTTTAAAGATTTATTTATTTATTTGAAAGTCAGAGTTACACAGAGAGAGAAGGAGAGGCAGAGAGAGAGGGGGGCCTTCCATCCGCTGGTTCATTCCCTGGATGGCTACAATGGCCGGAGCTGCACTGATACGAAGCCAGGAGCTTCTTCCGGGTCTCCCTCACAGGTGCAGGGACCCAAGCACTCGGGCCTTCTTCTTCTTCCTTCTTCCTTCTTCCTTCTTCCCTCTTCCCTCTTCCCTCTTTTTCCTCCTCCTCCTCCTCCTCCTCCTCCTCCTCCTCTTCTTCTTCTTCTTCTTCTTCTTCTACAGGCAGAGTGGATAGTGAGAGAGAGAGAGAGAGACAGACAGAGAAAAAGGTCTTCCTTTGCCGTTGGTTCACCCTCCAATGGCCACTGCGCTGTGGCCAGCGCACCACGCTGATCCGAAGCCAGGATCCAGGTGCTTCTCCTGGTCTCCCATGGGGTGCAGGGCCCAAGCACCTGGGCCATCCTCCACTGCACTCCCGGGCCACAGCAGAGAGCTGGCCTGGAAGAGGGGCAACCGGGACAGAATCTGGCGCCCTGACCGGGACTAGAACCCAGTGTGCCGGCACTGCTAGGTGGAAGGTTAGTCGGGCCATCTTCTGCTTTCCCAGGCCACAGCAGAGAGCTGGATCAGAAGTGGAGCAGCCGGGACTTGAACCGGCGCCCATATTGGATGCCGGCACTGCAGGCGGCGGCTTTACCCACTACGCCACAGCTCCAGCCCCAAGATTGATTTATTTATTGAAAGAGTTAGAGAGAGAGAGAGAGAGAGAGAGAGAGAGGTCTTCCGTCTGCTGGTCCACTCCCCAGATGGCCCTTACCAGGCCTAGGAGCCTGGATCTTCATCCAGGTCACTCCCCTGCACGGTGCAGGGGCCCAGCACGTAGGCCTCTCCCACTGCTTTCCCAGGCATACTGGCAGGGAGCTGTGTTGAAGTGGAGCAGCCGGGAACGCTCCAGCGCCCGCGTGGGCTGCCAGTGTTGCAGGCAGCAGCTCCACCTGCTGCGCCACAGTGCAGGCCTCTCCCCTCCCAGTGCTGAAACAACCGAAGAGGAGTCTGGCTGGACTTCAGGGCTCCAGAGTGCGAGGCCTGGGACAGGAAGCCCGTTGCTGGGGCGCGCAGGGCCAGCTCCAGAGGCTGCCACTGTCCCCAGCAGGGAGGACTGTCCTGCAGAGACCGGGGCACACCCTGGGCCTGTGCTGCTGTCTGTGACTTCACGTGATGCATTCTGCCACTGCCAGCACCTTGCGAGTTTGTTTCTTGTTGAATCCCAAACAGGAATAAAAGAATCCTTACAGTCACGACAGACCTGGCGGGGAGCTTGGCGCTTCACCCGTCACAGGGCACCCTGAGAGCACGGCTGTGGTTAAGACAGTGGCGATGCTGAACCAAGCAAAAGCTTGCTCTAAAAAGTCAAAGGCAGCATTAAACTTTTGCTGCCAGTTAAGTTTGTGGCCAAAACCTAATGACAGAACAATTGGATCTTTGCACAAATAAAAGGAAGTTGCTCCCCGCCTCCAGTATGTCAATTCAATTCTTTTTTTTTTTTTTTAAGATTTATTTATTTGAGAGGCAGAGTTACAGACAGAAAGGGAGAGAGAGAGGTCTTCCATCTGCTGGTTCACTCCCCAAATGGCTGCAACAGCAAGGGCCAGGCTGATCGGAAGCTGGGAGTCAGGAGTCTCTTCCGGGTCTCCCACGTGGGTGCGGGGGCCCAAGGACCTGGACCATCTTCCACTGCTTTCCCAGGCCACAGCAGAGAGCGTGATCAGAAGAGAAGCAGCCGAGACTTGAACCGGCTCCCATATGGGACTGCGGCACGGCAGGCGGTGGCCTCACCCGCTAAGCACAGCGCCGGCCCCGCGATGATGGCTGTCTGCCGCCTCTGTTGTTTGTGGACGTCGATGGGCATTGGTTTCTGACTTCTCAGACACTGGGGGCAGAGCTGCTTTTCTTGTGGGAGGACTGAGCCCGGTTTTTGCCGTTGTCTTTATTGAAGGGACATTTAGTGGAGGCGGTGGTGCAGGTGGGGGCAGCCTCAGCCGGCGGCCTGCCGGGCCTCGCAGGGCTGCCGCGGCGTGGGAGGAACCACTCTCGCCGCCCGGGGGAGCGAGTGTTCTACAGGAAGGTCCCCCTCAGAGGCACACCAGGCCTGTTCTTACTGCACGGGACTGCCTGCCTCCGCGTCTCGTTCTCACCCGCGCCCCGGTAGACACCGACTGTGTCCTGTGTGCCGACTGCCCGTTCACCCCTCGGTCTCCTGCTCTTGTGGTCATTGCTCTGGGTCACCGCTCCCCACAACTCTAGATTTTAACGCATAGTAGGAAGAACACAGCCAGCGTGTCGGCTTGTGATTTCAGACACTGGCAAGGCTGAAAATACTGACTAAAACTAAGTAGCTGCAAATAAAATTATTACAGAAATAGAGGCTCAGCCGCGGCAGGCGCGTGCAGCTGCCCAGGTTCTGCACTGGCAGCTCTGGGGTTCCCCCTCGGAGCCAGGGAAGCCCACAGAGGCGAGCAGGCCTGCCCGTTGCAATGCCGAGTGCTCTTCCACAGACGAGATGACGAAGGGGGTGGCAGTGACCATGCCCTGGGAACCGACGTTCAGGGCCACCTCAGATTCCCAAGTCACCCGGTTGTCCCCTCGATGCCCTGTGCTAGGCTGCTCGTTTGACATCTGCTGATGTTCTCCAAAGCACTGGGACTCTGGTCCGTGCTGAGAGCTTCACCAGGCTCCAAGGGCAGTAGAGACCTGTGCCCAACAGCTCCAGAAGCGACAGCCCCACGCCCAGACCACAGAGCCCGGTGGGGACGGGAGGCACGGGGTGAGGTCCGAGGGCCTGGGCAGGCACCGTGACCACAGGGCACTGTCTGCTGCCCTCAGGACCCCCGCCATGATCGGCTGCTCCTTCGTGGTGGACCGGGAGTACTTCGGGGACATCGGCCTGCTGGACCCTGGCATGGAAGTGTACGGCGGGGAGAACATTGAGTTGGGTATGCGGGTAAGTGGGGCTGCGGGGGTGCTCACAGGGGCTGGAGAGCAGGTGCGCTCCGGAGCTGTCAGTCAGCCATTCACACAGCTGGGCATCCGCGCTGGAAACTTCTGGAGGCTCGCGCCTGAGAAGCGCTGTGTGTGACGGAGGAAAGTGGTAACAGGCGGCACGGCTTCCCCCAGGTGTGGCAGTGCAGGTGGGAGGGTGGGTCGCAGCCTCTCACCTGTGCCTCCGCAGGTGTGGCAGTGCTGTGTAGAGGGTGGGTCACAGCCTCTCACCTGTGCCTCCACAGGTGTGGCAGTGCTGTGTAGAGGGTGGGTCCCAGCCTCTCACCTGTGCCTCCGCAGGTGTGGCAGTGCTGTGTAGAGGGTGGGTCCCAGCCTCTCACCTGTGCCTCCGCAGGTGTGGCAGTGCTGTGTAGAGGGTGGGTCCCAGCCTCTCACCTGTGCCTCCACAGGTGTGGCAGTGCTGTGTAGAGGGTGGGTCCCAGCCTCTCACCTGTGCCTCCACAGGTGTGGCAGTGCTGTGTAGAGGGTGGGTCACAGCCTCTCACCTGTGCCTCCACAGGTGTGGCAGTGCTGTGTAGAGGGTGGGTCTCTTTCCCAGCCTCTCACCTGTGCCTCCACAGGTGTGGCAGTGCTGTGTAGAGGGTGGGTCTCTTTCCCAGCCTCGCACCTGTCCTCTGCAGGTGTGGCAGTGCGGCGGCAGCATGGAGGTGCTGCCCTGCTCCCGCGTGGCCCACATCGAGCGCAGCAGGAAGCCCTACAACAATGACATTGACTACTATGCCAAGCGCAACGCCTTGCGGGCAGCTGAGGTGTGGATGGACGACTTCAAGTCGCACGTGTACATGGCCTGGAACATCCCCATGACGGTGAGCCAGGCAGCAGCAGGGCCAGGAGGTGGGCACCCAGGGAGGCGTGGCAGCTGCAGCCACCGAGATCTGGGGCCGGGGCCAGGCAGCATGAGGCCGGCTGGTGCTGAGGCTGCATGGGCAAGGCCTCGTGGTCGTGGCCCAGCCTCGGCGGCCCTGCCTCACCCTGGGTGGATCACTCTTCGCAGGTGGGAAGGAGGGCGGCCACCCTGGCCAGTGGAAGCGTGGGTCCTGTGGCTGCTCTGCCCTGCCCGCTGGCCTGACCTCCTGGAGTCCCCAGGCGGCATCACAGCCAAGGTGCAGGTTCTCCACGTGCAGACCCCAGGGTGCTGGTAAGGGCGCAGACCCTGGGAGGGCCTTGGCCAGGAGCATCAGAGCCTCGTTCCATGTGTCCCACCACCCTCTGCAGCCGGCCCCACCCAGGACCCACAGTGACCCAGCCTCAGGGTCACCCAGAGGCATGTGGGGTTAGGTTCCTGGGACGTTGTTCCTGGGACATTGCCATAGCCACCACCCGGAGCTCACTGGGCCACACCTCTGCCAGGGGGACCTGCTGGGGATGCAGACACTGTGGTACCAGGATGTCCCCGATGACCGCAGACCCCACCCTCAGCTGCAGTGTTTTCTGGGGAGTTCTATCATGGCACAGCAGCTTCCAGATCTCGTCTAACAATGCTGTTGTTCCTGCGCCCACAGATAGGGAAACTGAGGCACAGAGGGGCCAATGCGCTGGCCCAGGACACACAGCAAGTGGCATGACTAGGGCCCTGCGGGGCCGAGGCCACAGACGCCCACGCTGTCCCTCAGCTGCCGTGTGTTCCCACTGGATTTTTTTTTTAAGGATTTATCTATTGGGGTCGGCTCTGTGTCACAGCAGGTAAAGCTACTACCTGTGATGCTGGCATCCCACATGGGTGCAGGTTCAAGTCCAGGCTGCTCTACTTCTGATCTGGCTCTCTGTTAATGGCCTGGGAAAGCAGTAGAAGATGGCCCAAGTCCTTGGGCCCCTGCACCTTCATGGGAGACCTGGAAGAAGCTCCTGGCTTCAGCCTGGCCCAGCTCTGGCTGTGGGGCCATTTGGGGAGTGAATCAGCAGTGGAAGACCTTTCTCTCTCTCTGTTTCAGCCTCTCTATAATTCTGACTTTCAAATGAATAAATAGATATATATTTTTTTTTTGACAGGCAGAGTGGACAGTGAGAGAGAGAGACAGAGAGAAAGGTCTTCCTTTGCCGTTGGTTCACCCTCCAATGGCCGCCGCGGCCGGCGCGCTGCGGCCGGCGCACCGCGCTGATCCGATGGCAGGAGCCAGGAGCCAGGTGCTTTTCCTGGTCTCCCATGGGGTGCAGGGCCCAAGCACCTGGGCCCTCCTCCACTGCACTCCCTGGCCACAGCAGAGGGCTGGCCTGGAAGAGGGGCAACCGGGACAGAATCCAGCGCCCCGACCGGGACTAGAACCCGGTGTGCCGGCGCCGCTAGGCGGAGGATTAGCCTATTGAGCCGCGGCGCCGGCCATCAAATGAATAAATAGATATTTTAAAAAGAGAGATTTATTTATCTTGGAAGGCAGAGGTACAGAGAGAGAAAGAAAACACTTCCATCCATTCACTGGTTCACCCCCCAGATGGCTACACTGGCCAGGGCTGGGCTAGGCTGAAGCCGGGAGCCAGAAGCTTGGTCTAGGTCTTCTATGTGGGTGGCAGGGTATCAAGCACTTGGGCCATCCTCTGCTGCTTTCCCAGGCCATTAGGGAGCTGGATCAGAAGTGGAACAGCCGGGACTTGAACCTGCACCCATGTGGGATGCCGGGGTTGCAGGTGGTACACCAGTGTCGGCCTTCTGGTGTGGACCTGGCCAGTCCAGGGTTGCAGCTGGCCTTGGACTTCCTGTAAGGAGCTGGGTTCTGGCCCCCTTTTGCATGGCCACAACAGGGCAGGTAGGAACGAGGCTGTCCCAGGAGGACGCAGTCCACTGTGCCCAGACTCCCGCTGAGCCCTGGCCACAGGAGGCATTTGGGTTCCCCAGCCCTGGAGCCGCCTCACCCCGACCCCATGTGCCCACTGAGGACTAGCGTGTCGCCGTCAGGGACATACGTGCTCTGTGCACGATCTCACCCAAGCAGACCCTGGGCCGTGTGTACCGGGAGCAGCTACAGGGCCAGGGCTGTGCCCTGGCGTCCTCACGCTCTCCCTGCAACCTCCCCGGCTGGTGCTGTGGCGTTTGGTGATGTTGCCTGGAGGACCCAGGCCATCTGCTCACCTGACCCCGTGAGGGCGACCCCAGCCTCACGCCCTGCCCTGGATCACTGGCCACACAGGCCAGGAGGCCTGCACTGGTGTGTTAGAGATGAATCAGCCCCGTGCCAGCCCTCCATGAACTGGGCAGATCAGAAGGTGCCCTGTCCGGCCGCTGAGTGCTTGGTTCTTGGACTCAGGGCCGCAGCTTGGGCCAGCCAGGGAGGCCGGCCAGGGCCGTGTGTGTTCTGTGACTCACAGGGTGGCAGTGTGTTTCTGCTATAGTCACCCAACTTTGCAGATGGGAAAACTGAGGCATGGAGAGGTGAAGGGGCCCCAAGGCCACAGCTGAGCCCGCCTGAGTCAGCCGCGGGAGCTGCCTGTCCCCGGCTGACCCCCGATACCACAGCAGGGGTTTGTGGCCAGGGTCCAGGTTCACAACAGTGAACGGGGGCAGCGGGGCCCTAGAGGGCTGCTCTGGCGAGGGCAGACCTGCCTCCTGGGGACCGAGACCCTCACCTGCCCTCCGCCTGCTTCTGCCCTGCAGAACCCAGGGGTGGACTTCGGGGACGTGTCCGAGAGGCTGGCCCTGCGCCGCAGGCTGAAGTGCCGCAGCTTCCAGTGGTACCTGGAGAACGTGTACCCCGAGATGAGGGTCTACAGCGACACGCTGGCCTACGGAGAGGTACCGGCCCCCCGGGCTTCCGGCCAAGCGCTCCCCCACCTGCACACACAGGTCCTCCGGCCCAAAGTACCCACACGTGCACGCAGACACCCGCACGAGTATGTCTGGGTGTGGGCGAACCCATCAGTTCACGTTCCCACGTATGCATACGTGTGCATAGGCAGTCACGTAAGTGTAGGAGGGGCCTGGGGGAAGTCCCCACTGACCCATCCGTCCCTGGAGCTCCTGGTCCACCCTGACACCCCTGCAGCCCCTGGCCCTGGGACCCCTCTGTGACCAGGGGCTTCCTTGCAGGTGCGAAACAGCAAAGCCAGCGGCTACTGCCTGGACCAGGGCTCGGAGGACGACGACCAGGCCATCCTGTACCCCTGCCACGGGATGTCCTCCCAGGTAGGACCGGCGGCCGACCACACACTGCTGCAGGGCACTGGTCCCTGACCCCAGCCATGGTGGGGGTGCTCAGGAGCCGCGGGGCTCCTGCCCCGCCAACGCAGGCCAGGAGGGGAACGAGGCCCCTCAAGTCAGTCGGGTGCTGAGCAGGGCGCCTCTCAGGGCTGCTGGAGGGCGTGCTGGGCACCTGGCACGGTGTGGGCGTATCAGGACGTCAGCCATCACGTCTACCAACACCCGGCTCCCGTGGGGCCCCTGCAGAGCCCGGCCAAACCGCAGGTGCTGCCGCTGAAGAGTGTTTCTGCTGGGTGTTGGTGTCAATCAAATTCACCCTGACTCCCACTTTCCCAGAATGGTGCACGGGCTGGCTGACGGCTCCCCCGGGGCGAAACCCTGTGGCCGCCGAGCCACCAAGCACGGGTGGCGCCTCTGCCTTGAGGTCATGGAGTGCCCCCTCGGCCACAGGGCCATGCTCCTTCCTGTTCTGGAATTTTTTGAGGCCGGGGCGGGGCTCTGCTGCTGCTCCAGCTCCTTGACTGTTGCTTGGGCCCTGGAGCTCTGGACGCATCCCAGGCCTCCAGTCTGGCTCAGGCAGGGCTCAGCCCAGGTCACGCAGGGCCTTGCCAAATTCCTGACCACTCTGTCCTCCAGAAACTGGCAGTAGAGCCCACCCGGCCCCTGCAGAACCTCAGCTTGGCCACTGGATTCGGCCCTGCCCAGTGGCCAGCTCACGCCCAGCGAGGGTAGGAGACTCCAGGCCACCCACTGGGCGGCCCCAAGTGGACAGCTGCTTTAGGGGACCCCCGCTGCCCCTCACACCAGGTCCAGAGCCTGCCGGGCAGGGGTGGGCGTGGCCCCTGCAGGGCCTCATCCGGCTCATGGCGCCCGCTGGTCCCTCCCAGCTAGTGCGGTACAGCACAGACGGCCTCCTGCAGCTCGGACCCCTGGGCTCCACCGCCTTCCTGCCCGACTCCAAGTGTCTGGTGGACGACGGCGGGGGCCGGAGCCCTGCCCTGAGGAAGTGCGAGGATGTGGCCCGGCCCACCCAGCGGCTGTGGGACTTCACCCAGGTGAGGGGCGGGGGCTGTGCCTGCTGCGGGAGGGGGTCTGAGGCCAGGGCTTGGATCTGTTCCCACTTGAGCCGAGGCACTGCCCAGGGTCACACAGTGAGAGGGCCTGGGAGTCTCCAGCCCCGCCCTCCCTGCCACCCATCGCCATCCACACTGACCACGTGACTGGGGCTGGGCGAGGACATGGGCGTGTTGGGGACACACAGTTTGACCCCGCCATGTCTGGCACTGACAGGCCAGGGGCACCTCTGACCCTTGCTCCTCAGAGTCCCTGGGAGCCCTCTCCTGACCCCCGACTCGTCTCTTCCACGCCCCTCCATCATCACGCCTGCTATGTGCAGACCCGATGAGGGTCGCTGTGGCTCTGTCTTGCCTGGGCAGTGGCCTCTGGGGTCCCTGGCTAAGTTGAGGCCACAGGAGGCACCGGGCAAACAAGGGTCACAACGCGGGGGTGGGGTCTGGCCAGGTTTGGCTGGGTGGTAAGGGCCAGTGGGGGCTGTCGCTCTGCTCCTGGACCTGTCGGACCTGGCCTTGGCCATGGAGATTTGGGGGACCCAGGAAGCTGGGGCACCCTGGGGAAAGGCTGGTCTTGGGGACCCCTGGGCCCCGTGTTCCTGCTGCCTCTTGGACCCCAGAGGCAGAGAGCAGGGCAGCTGGTGAACCAGGCAGTGCAGGCAGGGACCCGGGGCTCCCTGGCTGACTCCGCCTCCCCCACCCACAGAGCAGCCCCATCGTGAGCCGAGACACCGGCCGGTGCCTGGAGGTGGAAATGTCCAAAGAAGCCAACTTCGGGCTGCGGCTGGTGGTGCAGAGGTGCTCAGGGCAGAAGTGGGTGATCCGAAACTGGGTCAGGCACAGGCGGCACTGACCCTCGCGGGCCTCGGGAGCCATCGGGTGCGCCCCCTGGGCTGGAGCCAGGACGGGGGTCGCTCCCTCCCCTTGAATCCACCGCAGCCCCGGGAGAGGGCGCCTCTGAGGCCTGGGGGTGCCGCTCCCAACCACGTGCCTTTTCCGCGGTGACCCCAAAGGCTGCCCCTCTCCTGCATGCGCAAAACCCTGGACTCCCCCCACCTGCGGAGGCAAACCCACCCTGGCCAAGGCCGGTGGGCCCAGGGGGTCTGTGCAGGCCGCCTGCCCTGCCCAGCTCGGCCTTTCTCAGCACCAAAATCCAAGGTGAAGCCAGGGGCGGAAACAGGAGGAGCTCTTGTGCAGCTGCCACGGCAGGGGCCAGACCCGGAGCGGGCAGCACAGAGGCAGAGCTGGGCCTGGGCTGGAGGCCACCGCCCTGCCATCTGCCCACGGCCCGGGTTCCTGCTCTCCGCGGTCTCTGTGGCAGGGGTCAGCAAACATGACCAGGCCCCTGGCCTGTTTTTTATAAATAAAGTTTTATTGGCTCATAGCCAGCCCACCGTCTGTGGGCTGCATGGCTGTGAAAGCAGAGCACCGTGCTCTCTGCCGCCACCTGCGCCAGGACACAGGGCGGGCGGGGAGGGGCCCAGGGGCCAGAAGCAGGGCCACACTTGGCTGCACAGGAGGTGGCAAACGTGTTCTCCGTGGTGGCCCCATGTCTGCCTGGCACCCAGGGTCTCCACGTCCCAGGACAGGTGTGTGGCAGGCGCAGGTCACAGCCTCTCTGCTGCAGGCTTCTCCATCCTCAGCCCAACTCTCACCAGGCAAAGCTGCCCCTTTCAGGATGACCACGGAGGCAAAATGCGGGCAGTGGGCGAGACTCCTCCCTGACCGTGGGCCGGTCCTGAGTGCCCACGGGAAACGGAAGCTCGCGTGTGTTACAGCAAATGGCACCGCGTGCAGGCGGGAATGAAAGCCGTCACAGCTCAGGGCCCTGGGCCTGCCCTGTGGCCACCTGATGGGCTTGGCAGGGACAGAGCACACGCAGCGTCCCCGGACACCAACACCTGGAACGTCAGCCTCGGGGCCTGCTGCACCCACACCAGCGCCCCCACGACCAGCCAACTGCCCAGGCACCTCACAGGTGGCCCCACCGCAGGATCCGGGGGGATGGTCCCAGGACAGGAAGAGTGCAGCTGGCCAGAGCTGACACGTGGCCCAGCGCTGGCCACACGGGTGTGGTTCACACTGGGCCAGATCCCCACCCGCACCACAGGGATGCCCCACGCTGGGGACCCCCGACCTGAACTCCAGGCTCTTGGTGACTGGCACTCCTGGGGACCCCAGCCACAAACTCTGGGCCCAGAAGTGAGGGGGCAGGGGAGGCGTTTATAACAAGGGGAAACTTCCACCCCATCAGTCCCTAGCGCTCTTAGCACTGCGAGTGCTGCCCCCATTTGACCCAGAAACAGGAGAGAAGCCTGCCTCAAAAGACACGAGCCAGCCCTCCTTGTGCCTTCCACTCTGCCTGACTGCCCAGTTTCATTTTTTTAAAAACATTTATTTATCTGAAAGGCAGAGTTAGAGAGGTAAAGACACAGAGCAAGGTCTTCCATCCGCTGGTTCCCTCCCCAGATGACTGCAACAGCCAGGCGGAAACAGGAGCCAGGAGCGTCCTCGGCGTCTCCCACGAGGGTGCAGGGGCTCTCTGCTGCTTTCCCGGGATGGGAAGTGGAGCAGCCGGCAGTCCATCCAGCGCCCATATGGGATGCTGGCCCTGCAGACCACGGCCTAACCCACTACACCACAGCACTGGCCCCCTAAACACGATGTTTTTAAACACCAAGGATACAAGCAAACAGAACGGAACAAAGCCCAAGAGCGGTCAGCACCGTCTCCGACTTCACTGTGAACTCACTGGGCAGTTTCTTTGGAACACTCCAAAGGCGGCTGAGATAGAGGCCCAGCCTTGGTACCTTTGGGGCCAGGGGCCTCACCAGGCCACCAGAGGGCTTGGGCTCCATCAGTGGGGTCTGGATCACAGCCCCAGGGACCCCTGCCTGTCCCGTGTCCCTGACTGCCTGTTAGCAGCTGGCTCCCCCGAGACTCCCCGGCAGTGCGGAGCCCAGTCTGCAAACACCCTGGGGGCCGGGGCCCCTTCGGCCCTCACTAGAGGGGTGGAGGCTCAGAGCCACGCAGTGAGCGAGTGGGCACCAGAGCTCACTGCCTCCTGCACCTCGCCTCAGTCCAGCCTGACCACAGACGGCTCTGACAGGCTCCCGAGGGCGAGGGTGGATGGAGAGGGCTGGGATCCAGCCGTTGGCAGACTAGTCTGATCCAGGAAAAGCCTAAGACTCCCATACCCAGGCAGGAAACCCACCACCCGATCCTGCCTAGGACACCTGCCCCACCCTGGCTCGTCCCCAGCTTAGCAGGGGCCCCCGGAGGTCAGGGACAGCAGGCCAAGGACATGGAGGCAGCCCAGGGCTGTGTGCCTCAGCCCTCCCACCTGGCTGCTGCCTCCAGCAGCCACCGCCCTGCTTGGCAGAGCTTGCTGGCTGCAGCCCCACTGCTCCCTTGAGTACCCGGAGTGAGTCAGGTGTCCTCATTTGTGTCAGAGGGCTGGGCTGGGGTCCCTGCTTTTCCCCACCCTGGGGCTCTGTACCGCCAGTGGGGGTCCAGCAGAGCCTTCCCTCCCAGAGAGCAGGCCCAGGGACACCACACCAGCAAACAGCTGAGGGACAGCCCCAGCGTGCACGACTCTGGTGCCCAGATCCAGCTGACCCCAACGCTGTCACCCCCACCACTGCCGTCCCTTCCCTCTTGGACTTTGTCATGTCCACCAAACACACCTGCCCGGCACAGTCAAGGTTTGCTCCGGGGTTGGGTGGGGTTTTATCCTCACTGGAGCAGTCCAGCCAGCCAGAGCTGCTGTCCCACAGCCACGCACACCCATGGCTTCAGCAGCGGCCACTTCCTGCCCTGGTGCTGGAGGCCACCGTCCTGCTCTGGCCCGTGTCCACCCTCCCTCGTAAAGCCACGTGGGCGGTGCTGGGTCAGAGCCCACCCCGATGACTCACTTCATCTCCACCACGCCTGTGATGCCTCTGCTCAATGACGTCACGTTCCAAGGACCCAGGGGCCAGCACTCCATCTTCCGGGGGCCATGGTCCCGCCCACAACAGCGAGTGAGCAGCAGGGACAGGGTTGGGGCCTGGCTGAGCACCTGGCCCAGCAAGGCTGTGAGCTTCCTCCCAGCTGCCCCGAGGCTGGGACTCCCCCTGGGACTCTGCTGCTGTGCAGGGACCTCAGGGGGTTCCTGGGACAAGTGCCCCCTGCAGGGCTCGGTCCTTGGTCTGCAGTACAGGCAACCCTACCCCTCCATCCCCTCTTTCCCCATTCTCGGTTCCTCCCCGACATCTGAGGGGGCAGAAAGCGGGTCTCCCACCACACCAGGTCACACCAGGTCCAGCCACAGTAGACGACAAGTGTCTGGGGAGGGCTCCTGCCCCACGTGCCGGTGACACCACCTGCCCAGAGCTGCTCTAGCAACTCCTCTTGCACGAGCCAGTGGCAGCATTCGGGGCACCCAAGACCCCCATGCTGCAGAGCGCACAGGACCCCCGCCCGCCTGCCCAGATGTGCGCCCAGGAAGCAGCTGCACTTGCCTACAGAAGCGTTTACTGGGGGTGGCAGGGGCAAGGGGGTCAGCTGAGCGTGAAGAGCTGTGAGCAGAGGCTGTCGTGCCGGCCCAGCAGGCCCTGAGGCGGGAGGAACTCCAGCGGCACCGGCTCAGGCCTCTTCTTCTTCAGGTCCCGCTCGAAGATCTGCAGGGGACGACGGCGGCAGCTGCGGCAGCTGCGCTCCCGGTCCCGTGCCCAGAGCCCCCGCACCCCGGCCTCACCTCATATGCAGTGAGCTCCAGGAGCGGCGCGATGCTGACCTCGGGGACAGACAGTGCCTGGTTGATGGCGCTGGCGGCTTTGGACACCTCAGGGTGGTAGTGCTGCTGCAGGGTCTGGGGGCACACACACAGGGGCCGGCACCAGGTCAGCAGCCTGCCGCCGCCAGTGCCAGCGTGTGCCCAGCCACAGGGTCAGCAGCCTGCCGCCGCCAGTACCGCTGTGTGCCCAGCCACAGGCCAGTGCGGGGCAGGGCGCGGGTGCGGGCCCAAGCACACGCCGACGCTGGGCTGTGACGGAGCAGCCTGGCAGGGACGTGGCAGGGACGTGGCAGGAGCGTGGCAGGAAC